TCTTAATTATATAATCACCTCACCTGGGAATGAGCATTTGTTAAAAACCACAGCATAAGCAGCAAAAACAAAAAGATCCAAGCTGGAGAGCTGGGATCTCGATCATAGCACCAGTCTCCTTCATTACTCAAAGCCCACTATAATGTATCATGCATCTGAATGGATTTGTTGAATAGTGAGTTCTTGAATAAATAAGGCACCTAAATATATGGAAATAAATAATATGTGGCAAAAACCTGTGCATGTAAATCTTCTACTTGTTCTTCAAGGTCTTTGGGAACTTCTTCAATATGGACTGACACTTTGGCTTGAGGTTCTGGCACAACAGAAAACAAAAATTAGTGATGAACATGTAACTTCTTCCTACAATATCCATAAATTATCCAGCAAACAGGTAATGAGAATACTCAGATTTATCAGGTAGAAGTTGTTATCTTGATCTAACACCAAATTTTTGTAATGTATCAGCTAGAGGGGAAAGAAAAACAATTATATCTTGGGAGTAAAAGGATTAAAAACTATTTCTACCTGAATTCTCCATCAATACCTTAATGCAGTGCATAAGTCCTTTATGTCTACCTGTTTCTTGTTACCAACTATCATTCTCTGAACAGTGTAGAGTGAAGAAAAAATCAAGTTGTAAAATTAGTTTTAAAACTTTTGAGAACTAACCAACTGTAACATCAGCTTTCAAATCCTCGGCAGCGTTTTGCTCTGCTTCTCGCACCAGCGTTGCCAATCTGTTGAAAAAGTATTAAGTTTACATTGTTTTTGATACGTTAGAGTAGATTAGATTTTACAATAAATTTAAAACTTCAAAAACAAATTATCAAACAAGTTAAAGCAAAATTTTGACAGAGTAGGTAGTTTGAATTAGATAAAAGCTTTCAATAATCTTTTTTCTGACGAGATAGTTTTAAAATCAGGCAATATCCTTAGCTTAAAAGAAAAACTTGATCTAGCTTAAACATGTAGCTTTGAGTATAACTAACAAAAAGTTTTGTCATAGTATAGAGATGTACAACCTTGCATTTTCTTCCAGGAGATGCCTTGCTTCCCTTTCCAGAGTTTCAACTCTTTTCTCTTCAGCCTTAAGTTTGTCTGAGGTGGATGGATTTTCTGAGAAGCTATCAATGTGGTGATAAAGCACTTTGTGTTGTGATGGCTTTTGTGTGTCTAACAAATATGTCATGTAACTGTCATATTCATCCTGTAAAGTAAAAAAAGTATAGTTTTTACCTAATAGTATCAAATTCAACAATCAGTTTTCAGTTCCAACTACTGCAGTGTTATCTTATTGGATTGCTTGGACAGTTCAATTTTGAGTCCTCAAAATGACAACAACGGGGCTTAGAATTTAATCTCTTTTTACCTGATTACAGCACCAAATATTGAGTCTCTTGCAATCTGGAATTTGAATTCTTCATAGTCTTACTCTTAAGTGTGACTCTGGCATTGATGCCACCTTGTTGTGATGTGCAGCTAATGAGCTTTGATTCTTTAAGTTTAAGGATATTTCAAATGTCATTTAGAATTTAAACAGGACAGGACAATGTTTTTCTCTGCCTCATGGAATGAAAAAGATAGAATTGATACCCCTCCTGCATGGATGGCTTGCCAGTTATCAAAATTTGCCAGCCAATTATTCATGGACGGTAGTCTCCTGTGCAGCAGCTGTCCCACAACAAGATCTGATTGGTAATTCTCCCTCTACCTGCTATCAATTTCCTTGTAAATTAATTCCATGAATTTAATGTTAGATCAAGATAACAAGCTTCTACCTGTGAATAGTTTAAGTATTATCATTACCTTTTCAATGAATGATGTATGGATATTAGAGGAAGAAATTACATGACTGTTTATCACCTCTGGGAGGTTGAAATTAATTGCTTATTGACCACTTCAAGAAATCATTGCTACAGCCAGAACTTTGTAACTAATTTATGGAGCTCAAGGTATCTCAAATTAAGATTAGTTGCAAGTTATACTCAACAACTCTGCACAAACTCACTTTTATCCTTTGTAGAAGCGGACCAAATGTCTTGGATTCTGCAATAATCTCAGCCAAACATCTGTCATAAATCTGCAGTCTGTGAAAGTTTGGCCCTTTCTGACTTGCAGTTTCCAAAGAAGCCAATTGCTTAATAGGTAAAGAAAATTAGTTTTCAAATCACATTTAGTTTTTGTGTACTAGTTATTTCTAGTTTAGTTAGAAATTTTCTAAAGATGACTTAAATCAAATATAACCATTTTGACACAATTGGATGAAGCTGGTAATTAACCTATAAATAACTCGATCCAAGCAAATAGCCAATTAAATATCTTAGTAAATACCTTTGCTAGCCTTTGCTCCAAATTGCGGACATTCTTTTCTCCTGTGAGTACACCTCGATCATGAGCATCTCCTAGGTTCATGACCTGGTCACCAAATTTCTTAAAGCTTTCAAACTGGTCCGCCTTGGTTGGGTAGCTCAAATAAGTCTCCACAAATGCATGGCGCAGGTCATCTGGTTTTGATTTTTCTCGAGAGCTTCCTAAAAGTCAAGATATAAAAGACATTTATGATTAACCCTTTTCTTATTCACCAATAACGTTATTTCACCAATAACGTAGCTCCATTTTCTGCCTTTAAAAGCACACACAACACACAATTCACACACAACCCACAATTCGCTCTGAGGAAGGGCTAACGCTCGAAACGTCAGCTTTTTTAATCGTTACTTTGTCCATATATACAAATTATTTCGTTACCCACACCGACACAGCCCCAAACAGTTTCTTTAGAAACTATCAGCCTTTTCTTAATGGCTAAGTCTGCAATATAACTATAAATTGAGTAAATTGAGACTGACTTCCATTCAACTGTTACTGTTTGTGATTATTTAAGGTTTGCAAGGAATAAAGAAACTTAGGTAGGTAGCATGGCTTCTCCTCCAGGCTAGAAAACTAGTTTATCAAAGGTTACCTCTCCTCAGAATTTCATCAGGTTCCCTTCAGCTGACAGTTCACTGACTCACCCATTTAAACCTTAAGAGGAGAGCTGGAGCATAGAATGAAACTGTGATTCTCTCGCCAGAGTACCACAACCATGTTGCTTTAAATTAAGAGAGGGCTTTAACTCAAGCCTTTCCCTTCAGAATTCAGAGGCCCAATTACATGTAGCAGGCCCCTATGTCTATCAAAAACATAGCACAAAATTTAACAGACTTTCTTTTATTTTTTAGCGATAGAAGACAAAGTTTTGAAATTTCTTTCAAATTATAATTCATTGAAAAGACAGTAAAGTTTGTTGAATTATGACATTGGACAATTTTCCCAGTAAGATACATAACCCAAATCAACCAAATCAAACCTGGGGGTGGATATTTTAAGGTGTTCTGACCTGAAAAAAAGGCATTTGTAAATTATCCATAGCATTTTATATGATGTAGATGGTGTTATTCTAAAAATCATCTGTTATCCCCACCTTTCTTTTTAATTGTAGGGATCATTATCTCTGGCAGATGCAACTCCTCCACATGTATTTTGTCTTTTGTAGGTTTGTCTAATGTTCCCTTTTGTTTTCCAACCATTTCATCAAAATCTTCTGCTGAATGTGATCTTGATTCTGATTCTGTTGAACAATAAAACATAGAACATTGAAGTAAACACAGCAAACAAAACTTGATGAAAAGGAAATTCTAAAAAATATCTCATTGTTGGGGGGTTACATCTGTATTTCTCGTCACTCATCATTTATACAAAGTGCTATTTAAAATATATGGAAAAAAAGCATTTCCTACTACACTATTGCCACTTTTATGAGTAATAACACACTTGTAAATACAACCAGAATTACCAATACTCTTTAACTTTAACTCTCAGAAGTGATTAACATGTAAATTCTCCCTGTAATATCCACATATTATCCAGCAGACAAGTTAAGAGAAAATTCAAAGTTACCAGGTAGAAGATTTACCTTGATCTACATTGTAACACCAAATTCTGGTGACTAATTTACAAGGAAATGTGTAGCACCTTGTCAGGGGAGAAATTAACAATCAGATCTTGGAAGTTAAAGAGTTAGTCTTGTCTTAATTGCTGTGTTCCAGCTCTTATTACCTTGCATGGTTACAAGTGTGGAACAAATTTTCGAATTTCACTTCACAGCCTAGTAATAATCTCCAAATTGCTGGTAATACTCACTGTTAAGTGCAATATTTCTGATTGGTCCCAGGCTAAATTCAACAACACGATCTGCCATTGTCTTGTGTTTGAGTTCTGTAGAACTTAATTCCCCTCTCCTCACTGGAAGATCAACAAGCTTGCTAGGAGACTTGAGTCTGCAATTTAGAATAATGTACATTTATGAATATAAATTCATTCACAAAAACTTTACATAAATTTAGAGAACTCCAATAATTCTGGCCTAAATCTTTGAAAAAATAGCTACTTCAGATTTTTTACTACAGCCTTCCTGCAGATACTACCTCCTTAAATTTAACCCTTTCCTCCCGGGGGTTACGAATAAAGGAACTCTTCACAAAATATCACTTTATTTTCAAAGGTAAAGCTAACAAAATTGACGAGAAAAAAGAGAAACATCAACTAGGGGAAATTCTGTGTCTTATCATCAAGTTCCAAGCGCTAAGGAAAGAACAAAAGTATGACAGACAGTGTCTAGGGTTGCTGTGTAAAATCTTTGGAGTGCAAGAAGTGAAAAATTCGATTCTTGTGTTTCAAATTTTCTTTTTTCAGATTGTTTGAAAAATTTTCTGCAAAAACATGTTATTTCACGGTAAGTTGAGGGTCAATCTGTGAAATGTTCTTTCGCAATATCTTTTAATTTCTCGTAAACTTCTCCTCAGCTTACCTAACTGGTGGCTTATCTGAACTCTCCCATTTAGTGTGGCGTTGGTGCTGAGGTTTCAACAGCTTACTGGAATTTAGATGACCACTTGTATAGGTTTTGATATCTTTTCTATGTACTTCGTAAACAGTTTCGAGCAAATTTTTTAGAGAAGAACTTTTGCGCTTCTCGTCCGCCATGTTTGTTATTAGTATTTTCGTCTCCAAGGAAAGACTCGCCCCAGATCCTAGGCCATCTCATGAGGGCTCGGTTAGCCAACATTCAAAATGGCTGCAGGAAAGTTGCCTTCAAATGCGCTTTCCTTGAAACAGGTAACAGCAACAATTGAAAACTTGCTTGAGGGAGGGAAATGCTCCAGTACATCAGTTTATGCAAAAATTTAATAGTAGACTTGTTGATTGTGAATTTTTTCTATCTAAGTTCTTTCTTAGAAAGCAAGTTCTAAGTCTGTACCGTGAAATCTTAAAGACGTTACGTGCGGTGGAAAATGAAGATCACAGAAAAGAACTTGCTGATTGGGCAAGATCAGAGTTTAAGAAAAACAAGCACGAAAAGGACGAGGTAAGCTTCAGCGACGTAAAAATGTAGGGGAATCTCTTGAGGGTGTTTCCCATTCACCCTTCCAAGATATCCTGAAAGGCCGAAACCGTAGCACAAGATCACAGGTTTACCATCTTAAATATCCGTGGTTTCGGGTTTCTATGGTAACGGGTCCTGTGGCATTTACATAGCCTTTATAAATGTAGTTCAAATATATTGCCTCTAGAATCTTTCGCTAATAGTCAGTCTTCAAAAAAAATCAGCTTCGAATAAAGCATAATAATTCATTACTTGTTTGGAAGTGTTTTTTTTTCTGCCAGACAGCCTCAAAATCGCTCGTTTGGGGCTTTGAAAGTTCGATGGTTAATTCGGCTTGCTCTTCATAGTTTGAAAACGCGACAAGGCAGGCAGCGTAGGCATGCAGATCACACACCACCTCATACTCGAGACAAAAATGTTTTACCTACTAGGTCTTATTTTCTCACCGAAATTCAACAGGCCACAGAAGGATTATCCAGCTGTTACGGTGACTCAGTTTTGAATCATTCCATTCAACCGTTTACGAGAAAATGGAACGCAAAGTCGTAGATTTGGAGCTCTTCTAGGGATCTGAACATTACAGGTCATCAAAGGAATTCCAAACATGCATTTTGGTTATGGTATCTAACATTCAAAGGGTTTTCCTGAGAATGTTTACAAAACTTTCTCGATTCTTATTGGTCGATCTTGGCTAGGACATCTGCCGGAAGGACAAAGTAGTGCCTTTGGGGCCCCTACAGGGGTTACAAATTTGTACAATTTTCACATTTTTGTACCTTGGGTAGGGTGGCTGGGTCCGAAATTCGATAACCAAAACGCATGTTTGGAATTTCTTTTGATGACCCATAATGTCTGGATCCCTAGAAGAGCTCCAAATCTACGACTTTGCGTTCCATTTTCTCGTAAACCGTTGAATGGAGTGATTCAAAACCGAGTCACCGTAACAGCTGAATAATCCTTCTGTGACCTGTTGAATTTCGGTGGGAAATTAAGACCTAGAAGGTAAAACATTTTTGTCTCGAGTACGAGGTGGTGTGCGATCTGAATGCATAAGCTGCCTGCCTTGTCTCGTTTTCAAACTATGGAGAGCAAGCCGAATTAACCGCCGAACTTTCTAAGCCCCAAACGAGGGATTTTGATGCTTTCTGGCTGAAAAAAACACTTCCAAACAAGTAATGAACTATTAAGCTTTATTCAAAGCTGATTTTTTTTGAAGACTGACTATTAGCAAAAGATTCTAGAGGCAATATATTTAAACTACATTTATAACTGCCATGTAAATGCCACAGGACCCGTTACCATAGAAACCCAAAACCACGGATATTTAAGATGGTAAGCCTGTGACAAGATGCACAACCCCAGAAATTCTCCCCGTTTTCTATTTTATAGCCTTAAAATGCTGAGAGGGGTTTAGATTAAGAATGGCCAGTACCAATATTGGTACCACTCTTACGATGGACACAATTTCTTTCTTACAAGCTAAGTAAGGGCATAACAATTTAACCACTTCTGTACCATCAAATAATTTTACTTGCCCGCGATTGGTCTTTAAACTCATCACGTGACCGAATATTCCCTAATTAAAACTGAGGGATTTCCGAGTATATCACATAGTGATATCCCTCAATTTTCAACCCTGATGTTCACTATGATAAGTCTCTGTGCAAAATACAGAGCAATATTTGTGGTTGTTACAGAAGAAGGGAAATATTTTTTTGTTCTATGAGTCGTTCCAGAGAACACCTAAAAGAAAACATCCCACACAGCAAAACAGTAAGTTGTTTGTAAACATTTTTTCATGCCCGTTACAAAATATTTGAAGGACGATAAATTACCAGTATGTGTTATATGCCATTATATTGTAAATGTGAACCATCCTTTATTTTTGCAGATTGTCCTTAGTGCTAAGCTACACTACAAAGTACAATAATTTGCTTTATGCAATTTGCATTGGTTCACTGATTGATTGTTTTTTCTCAGATTGTCATCAAAATGATGCTGTCACATGGTCGACTCACATTAAGAGAAATGTCAGCAGCAATTTACTTGGCTAAATAAGGATTAAAGAGGTGCTTTCATGGCCAAACAAGTGCCCTGCACAGAAAAGTACCAACTGTAGTTAGTGAACCACCTTGTCATATGGTTAACAGAAAACATGGAGACTATTGTGACTGCAACACCCAGTGCTCAGGAGTAGAATGGGGAGAATCTGGTGGGAGAGACTGCATTTGGTTATCTGCTCTTTGTTTGATGGTTTAGTTTAAGTTTAGTTTAAGTTTAATTCATTCGCCACAGGAATGGCAGGAGAAAGGAACAGAACTCTCGTTCCAATTGACACCTGACCCCTTTTTTACCCACCAACCCACCCCGGGGAGGAAATCCATTACACAGTAATCTCGTGTGTGGGAAATTAACGTCTCCTACCCCAACCCTGCAGGAGACGGGGCCTCCATTTATCGTCCCTATCCGAGAAGACTAGAAAGTCTAACCATTTGCAGATATTATTACAAAGGCAGCACTTTCTTCTCAGTTAATTTAAGACCCTGAGTGTTGGTCCGGCCGGATTTGAACGTACGACCTCCCGCACAAAAGTCCGGCGCTCTACCAATTGAGCTAACCGGGAGGCGGTTAGCTCAATTCGTAGAGCTAAGATGTCGGATAGCTCAAGTCGTTGCTAAGACGTCCAAGAAAATAACTTACTTGAGCTTTAACTTTTCCTCTTCTAGCTGTTCCAGTTTACTTGACAGCTCTGCTTGAGCTTTTTCTTGTTTAACCACCTAGTAACGAAGGTAAAGATCACTTTTCACGTAAACCTGAAACTACATGTACCTGGTTTTTGGCTAAAACTTCAAAGTTGCAACAAGTTATGCCAAAACCTTAACGTTTTTCAATCCCAGCTACAGCCAGTTGTTACGGAAATGTTTCAAATCAGTTACCTTTTGTTTCTGTTGTTCGAGTTCCTGTCTATTTGAAGCAGCAGAATCCTTTACGCTGGCCTCCATATTTTTCAGCAAATACTCTGTTTCTCTGCAAGATAGACAAAAAATAAGTTGGTCAGCAGTTAATCAACAAAACAAAGCGCTGCTCATGTAATATTCTTAAATCAACAAAACAAAACCCTGGTCATATACTTTCTCAAACTGTGTAGATTGATAAATAGAGGAAGTGAACATCAAAGCCTTCAGTTTTACAGTTTCCTACTTTTTAATTAGTAAACGGTAAGTTATATTTCATGTAAGGTTCAATTTCTCCAAGCAGAAAGCAGCTTTCCAACCCTGCAATCAGTCACTTGTGAGTGAATCAGTCAAGAACACTTTATGGCAAATAATCAGTGCATGCATGCTGTTCCTTATCACGTACGTACTGGAAACTTCCAAAAAGGACACAAAACATCACAAAATCTCACCCAAGTTTCTTCTGAGCTTTGTCAAGAGATGATTCCCTCTCTGCCAAAAGTGCTCTAAGTTGAGCATTCTCATACTGACTTTCTTGTAGCTTTAAAGACAGTGAACTACTATCTCCTGTGCTCTGAGTTCGGCTGAGGTGGTAATGAGTTGGAACAGCTCGATGAATGACTGAATTTGTTTGAAGCATTAGCTGCTGTTGAAGTTGAAATATACTCTGCTTCTGTCTACAACATCAAAAAGAGAATCAAAATTTGATTTAACTTGTATGGAATAACATGAACTAGTTATTTTTTTAATTTTCACCATGCATTTTAAAGAATAAGGTGGCCCCTGCTAGTTGCACAGTAATAATTATTATATATTAATAATAATAATGGCCAGAAATGCAATAGGTTTTTCCATCTGTGCTGAGATCAAGCTGTATATACAACAAACTCACTAAAATAAGTAAATCAGAATCTAAAGAAGTACTTTACCTATCTATTATCTCATCTTTTTGACCAATAAGCTCATCTTTTGCTCTTAGGTACGAGCTCCACTTGTCACTGTCATCACTAGATGGGCTTATGGATCTTGAAGTTGAGTTAGATGAGCTTATGTAACCCTCTCCAATCAGATTAAGGGGGCTATTTCGGTGTGAGGTTGAAGAATTTGTGATATGACTAAGGGGTGCAGGGTATCCAGTTGAAATTGTAGACCTCATTGATGGAGCTGACGTCCCTACAGAAACAGAAACTAAAATGGTTACAGCACTATTCCACAACATGCAAACTAGTGGTAAGGGGGATACATAACAGATTATTCACAATGATTTTACAAAGCAAAATGTTTCAGAAGGTTTAAGAGCTCAGATTCTTGGATATGTTTGGAGAATTTATCATCCAACTTGGTTGTTTCTGTTTTGTTAATTATAATACTGATTGACACAGTATTAGTTAACAACCAAGTTTGGTTGTGAACCACTTTGGTTGTGTAAAGACTGCCTTGCTTACCATAAATGAGTGCTGGAGGTTTTAACAGTTTTATTTAGCCTCTATTAAAACACAAGTACAGTAAAATTTAGACCTATTGTAAAACTTCACCTGTGGGCATAGTCTGACTAGCTTGTATCCCTGTTCCATTATTTAAAGGCATTTGTCCTGTGAAGCCAGTAAGTCCATTGTCACTTGCATTTGTTTGCATGTGAAGTTCATTAAGTCTCAAGCTTGATCCCCAAGGCTGTTGTATCCCAGTGTTTAGACCCTGCATGCTCCTTAACTGCCTCTCTTGGTGTTCAGCTAATAGTTCTGCTAGCTCAGTATTATCACTATATTTTCTTGTCACATGTTTTTGTCTTGTCTTTAATGTGCCACTATGAGCTGCTTGGTTTTTTTCTGGATGTCTATGAACTTCAACATGATCTGTGTTTGAAACTGGAAACAAACCAAAACAATTCTAAAGATTTATTTTCCCCTAAATAAGATTTTAAACATAGATAGTTGAAGTTAACCATAGTTACCTTATCTAGAAACATTTTGTTTGTCTATGTGCTCAAGATCATACTTAAAATATGTTTATTATGTTTATTTTACTGTCACTGGTTGACCTCTAAGAGTGACCAGCCTCTAATTTCTCCTTACAATATCACCATTGAATCAAACATTAAGGTCATGAGAATAAAGAGAATAATCACAACTACAGAAATTATTTTTTATCAAACAAATTCTCCTTGTCAGCACCTTGGGAAATGTATAGACAACAGTATGGAGAATATGCATGCTGATGTCAGAATGTGAAGAGTTAAGCAGTTTCTCACAAAATTTTATTCCATGCACCCTATGAAACCCAAATGTTCAATGTATGACCAGAAGTTTTTCTTGCAAATATTCTTACAATGTTATGTTACACATATTTCTAGCTATTTCAAATGTACCATATCTCTGCAATCATATATGTCTATATAAAAAAACAATTTATAATAATGCCATACATACTGTTTTTACAATTAAATATATCTTATTAACCAAGCGCGAGGGCCGTACTGGGAGAATATCGGCCTGAGGTCTTGACAGTACGGACCGAGCGCAGC